TCCCCATCCCCATCCCCATCCCCATCCCAAGACTGGGAGGAAATTAGAATAGTAGTGAGGTGTTGGGGTGGAGGCGGGATGCTGGAAAACTTTTGTGGAACTGAGGCAAGTTGGCTATATATATATATACACACATACATACGTGCTTGTTAAGGTGATTAGCTGACGAGCTCCACCTGGGCCAGACTGATTGATTATCCGATCGTGCTCCTCCCGAACCTGGTTAATAAAACATCATTTCACGATTTCACACTAACATATAATGTGATTAAGCAATTAGTAGCATATTTGGCATGCTGTCCAGAGGGAGGGCTCCGAGCTCGGGTTAAAGCCCGAACGCAGAGAACTCCCCAAAATAAGCTAATGGCATGAGACAGCAGCCAGAGATAAAACTAAGTAGCCCCCCAAAAATATGCGTGCCATGAAGAAAAGTAGGGTGTGCGAGGAGGCGGCAGGGCGACTGGGAGGGGTCGTGCGGTGCTTGAACGTAAACTGCGACTCTACGCGTCAGATGGCAAGACCTGTCGCCGAATGAGGAGCATGATGGAAGGCCAGTTGAGGGACTCTCGCTGCATCCGAAGGGAGCTGCAGCTCTGCTGCACCGGAAGGGAGAGTCCCTCTTGCAGCTGAATGCGTGGCGTGGTTTAAAGCGTCGGATGGAGGGCTCTCACTACGACCGAAGGTAGCTGCGGCTCTGCTACACCGTAAGGTGTAACCTTTTGCGGAGACAGCCTCACGCACGGATTAGCCTCTGGTGCTTAGGGAAGCACGTAGGAAGAGGTAGAAGGAAATGAGGGAGGAGGCCAGTAAGCTTGCATTGCTGGCTGATGCTGCTCTGCTTGGACGTCTGCAGCAGGGGCTGCTGGCCATTGATAGGAAAAAGGAGTAGCAGAAGGGTAAGAGTAAGGTGGCTGAGCTTGAATGGCTAGCAGAGGCAGCCTCACGCTAACATCTGCCGCCGGAGGTAGAAAGGAGGGGGAAGGATAGGAGTTTGGGAAGCTCCGCCAGCAGGCAACGTTGTGTGCAGCGCTGTAGCTGAAGGCGCCACAGTGATTGGTTGAGAAGAGGAGTAAGGCAGTGCAGTGTGAGGAGCAGCCGAGTCTGGGACACGGCCCAGGCTTGCTGACGGCCTGCTGCGTCTTGAAGCTCGAGGGGAGCCGGAACTTGATCTGGAAGACAACGTAATTTTGAATTAAGTAGGGAGCACGCTAACATCTGCCGCCGGAGGTAGAAAGGAGGGGGAAGGATAGGAGTTTGGGAAGCTCCGCCAGCAGGCAACGTTGTGTGCAGCGCTGTAGCTGAAGGCGCCACAGTGATTGGTTGAGAAGAGGAGTAAGGCAGTGCAGTGTGAGGAGCAGCCGAGTCTGGGACACGGCCCAGGCTTGCTGACGGCCTGCTGCGTCTTGAAGCTCGAGGGGAGCCGGAACTTGATCTGGAAGACAACGTAATTTTGAATGAAGTAGGGAGCTATGAGGAAAAGGTGCATGGGCTGCAATTGTCAGCCGAGGCAGCCTGACGTTTCAATCGGCTTCCGGGTTAGTGTCTGCTATGGGAGCTAGAGGCCACTAAAAAGAAAAAAGGGGTCATTAGAAACGGGAGGAAAAGCCTGATATGTGTGGGCCTGTGTTGCAAGTGGAGGCAGCCTTACGCTTCCTTCAGCTGCTGTAGGCCACGGGAAGGGAGTGGGGTTTGTGACATCCTGTAGAGCCTGTACCGCTAGCAGAGGCAGCCCATGCTAGTGTGTGCTATAGGAGCTGAAGGCCACTGAAAAGGAAAAAGAATTAGAAGTAACAGGAGGAAAGACGGAGATGTGATGGCATGCGTTGCAAGCGTAAGCAGCTTTGCGCGGCCACAGGGGCTTGTGATATTCGGGGGAAAATGCTGCACAGCTTGCAGAGGCAGCCTCACGCTAGTGTGCTACGGTAGCTGGAGACCACTGAAAAGGAAGAGAGGTTGGAAGTAGCAGGAGAAATATGACGACTGACAACATCCTAAAATTACGAAAAGACATGCTTTTCCTCTTACCCACACAATTAGTAGTAAGTATTGAAACAGCTAGCCAGCCAAGCAGCACATCAGCTGGTAGAGACTTGGAGAGAGGTGCTTAGCAGTATGCCCAACGCATGCGAATTAGGTTGCTAGTTGTACTTGTTCAATAATAATAATAATAATAGTTTCTTTAAAAAAAAACGACTTGTGGCCAAGTATGGTAACCCATACTTGGAATTAGTGCTCTGCATTTAACCCATCCTTAGTGCACACACACAGCAGTGAACACACACACCGTGAACACACACCCGGAGCAGTGGGCAGCCATTTATGCTGCGGCGCCCGGGGAGCAGTTGGGGGTTCGGTGCCTTGCTCAAGGGCACCTCAGTCGTGGTATTGAAGGTGGGAGAGAGCGCTGTACATTCACTCCCCCCACATACAATTCCTGCCAGTACGAGACTCGAACCCACAACCTTTTGGGTTACGAGTCCGACTCTAACCATTAGGCCACGACTTCCCTTATTATACACCTTATTCGTTGGTTTGCACCTATAAATTGTACACAGTTTAACTTTTCACGAAAATCTAATCTTTTTCATCTTATCTATCCGAGTAAAACATGTAATTTAAAACTAAAAAGAAAAAAGGGGTCATTAGAAACGGGAGGAAAAGCCTGATATGTGTGGGCCTGTGTTGCAAGTGGAGGCAGCCTTACGCTTCCTTCAGCTGCTGTAGGCCACGGGAAGGGAGTGGGGTTTGTGACATCCTGTAGAGCCTGTACCGCTAGCAGAGGCAGCCCATGCTAGTGTGTGCTATAGGAGCTGAAGGCCACTGAAAAGGAAAAAGGATTACAAGTAACAGGAGGAAAGACTGAGATGTGAGGGCATGTGTTGCAAGCGTAAGCAGCTTTGTGCTCGTTTCAGCTGCTGTAGCTGTAGGCCACGGGGCTTGTGATATTCTGGGCAAAATGCTGGAGAGCCTGTGCAGCCTGCACAGCTTGCAGAGGCAGCCTCATGCTAGTGTGTGCTATAGGAGCTGAAGGCCACTGAAAAGGAAAAAGAATTAGAAGTAACAGGAGGAAAGACGGAGATGTGATGGCATGCGTTGCAAGCGTAAGCAGCTTTGCGCGGCCACAGGGGCTTGTGATATTCGGGGGAAAATGCTGCACAGCTTGCAGAGGCAGCCTCACGCTAGTGTGCTACGGTAGCTGGAGACCACTGAAAAGGAAGAGAGGTTGGAAGTAGCAGGAGAAATATGACGACTGACAACATCCTAAAATTACGAAAAGACATGCTTTTCCTCTTACCCACACAATTAGTAGTAAGTATTGAAACAGCTAGCCAGCCAAGCAGCACATCAGCTGGTAGAGACTTGGAGAGAGGTGCTTAGCAGTATGCCCAACGCATGCGAATTAGGTTGCTAGTTGTACTTGTTCAATAATAATAATAATAATAGTTTCTTTAAAAAAAAACGACTTGTGGCCAAGTATGGTAACCCATACTTGGAATTAGTGCTCTGCATTTAACCCATCCTTAGTGCACACACACAGCAGTGAACACACACACCGTGAACACACACCCGGAGCAGTGGGCAGCCATTTATGCTGCGGCGCCCGGGGAGCAGTTGGGGGTTCGGTGCCTTGCTCAAGGGCACCTCAGTCGTGGTATTGAAGGTGGGAGAGAGCGCTGTACATTCACTCCCCCCACATACAATTCCTGCCAGTACGAGACTCGAACCCACAACCTTTTGGGTTACGAGTCCGACTCTAACCATTAGGCCACGACTTCCCTTATTATACACCTTATTCGTTGGTTTGCACCTATAAATTGTACACAGTTTAACTTTTCACGAAAATCTAATCTTTTTCATCTTATCTATCCGAGTAAAACATGTAATTTAAAATACAGGTAAAAAGCTAGTGAAAATTAATACAGAAAATTTGAGTATTTTCATGGCGTGTTCTACGCAGTTTTGCGTCTTGGTTACAAAAAAAAATAAATAAAAAATAAAAAACCTCAACATCCATAGTGTCATCACGTCGTTTAACAACAAACAACCTACCTTTAGCGACTTTACTTAATATTATTGCAACAAGGCCTGCGGTGCTAGCGGAGGCAGTCTCGCGCTAGCGACTGCTACGTGAGCTGGAGGCCCGGCTGCATGTGGCGCTGCGGCCGGATGAGCCTCGGTGAAAAGTTGAGCCGAAGCGGGAAGCGAATGAGGTTTTGCTGCGGTGAAAACTGGGGCGCGGCCCAGGCTCGTTAAAGACCTGCCGCTGCGGCCCAAAGCTCGAGGAGAGCAGGGTCTTGTGCGGGACAATGATAGTGTCGAGTGGGCGAGTTCGAGGCTTTGCTCGATCTATTGGCCGCCTTGGCTGATTTGCAGGATGAAGAATCGATC